CCAAAATGTAAATTTCTTACATTTATGTAGTTATAGTTTCAAGATGCTTTTTATTCAAGAACATTATTAAAATATCCTTTTCTAGGTGTTCCATGAACTTCTTGTTAACAGCCTATATTGAAGAATCTCATGTTGATATTTATAACATCACCTCTGAGATCATGCACCAATCTCATACAGAACTGGAAAGTAAATGTCCTCCTTGGGCAACTGGATAAAATATGAACTATGCATTGGTTAAAAACACTCCATCAATGTAGTTTCCTTACTATGAAAATTATGTTGTGGTTATATAAGAGAATGCCCCAATTTTTAGATTTATTTAAGCACTAAGTGTATTGATGTTTTCTCAAACGGTTCAGCAAATGTGGCTATTAGCAATTGGTAATTCCACATGAAAGGTATCTATCTATGTCTTAAATGCACTATTTTTGTTAATTTCCATAGGTTTTAAATTTTTCAAAATAAAAAGTTACCTGAGAAGTTTCAATGGAAAAAGTCATCAATGCCAGTGAAAAGTTGACAGTTCTGGGATAGGATTTCATGTCAATTTAACATATACATTATTTTTAGGTGATAATAAGTTCAAATAGTTGTAACACTAGAATCTAAAACATTTTAAGTATTCATTAGTACAGCTCTGGAAAATTTAACTTACAAAGAAAAATCTGCAAGGCAGAACGCTATATTGGGTTTGTTTTGAGCCATAATCATTGTATACAAATGTAGAATTTGATATGAGGCCTCTGAAAATTTAAGTGAAAAACATGAATAAATAGGTTTTAATCTAATGATAAATTTCATAAGAGTAGAGATATATTTTCATTCATATCTACTACCTAGAACTCTGCCTGGAATATTCTAAGTGCTCTATAAATATTTGTTAAAGAGATAACTGTAGCTGATTCACTCGGCTGTATAGCAGAAACTGACACAACAGTGTAAGGCAATTATACTCCAATAAAAAAATAAAAGTTTAAAAGAGGTAACTGTATTCTCTTAGAAGTATTTTTGAACATTTGCAATGTGATACAAAATTAATACATTTTGCCAGAGTTATTATAGTTCAGGGGTAAAAGGTGTATGTCTCTTACTAATTATGAAATTATGACAAGGATATATTGTATACCACAGGGAATATAGTCAATATTTTACATTAAAATAGCAATATATTTTATAACTATAAATGGGGTATAACCTTTAAAATTGTACACTTGTAACTTACACAATATGGTATATCAATTATATTTCAATTTAAGAAGAAATTATGTACAACAGTAAATACCTGTTGTACATAGTACATATGTATTAGCCGCTCAGTCGTGTCGAGTACTCTTTGCGACCCCATGGACTGTAGCCTGCCAGGCTTCTCTGTCCATGGGATTCTCCAGGTAAGAATACTGCAGTGGGTTGCCATCTTCTTCTCCAGGGGATCTTCCTGACCCAGGGACCAAACCCAGGTCTCCTGCATTGCAGGCAGATTCTTTACCATCTGAGCTGCCTGCGAAGCCCCAAAGTGTCTGCAGCTCAAGACAATATATTCTGGTTTCCTTAACATCTAAGTCCTTTACCTGGGATTTGCTTCTGATGGGAGGAGGGACACCTTTTGCTGCCATGATGGGCTGGACAGGCAGAAGATACAATGGGTGCAGGCCAGTGTCTGTTCTTTTCTCGTGTGTTGGGGAGATGATTCTGCTCTTGCCGGATGGTATGTAATCTCTCCATGAACAATCTAGCAAGCTCCACTGAAGTTGAGGGTGGAACTTGGTAAAAGCCATGTAGTATATAATATAAATATTATATGCCAGCATCATAACCTTACTATTATTTAACAACTGTCTGTTCTTTACAAAAGACAGTCTGCTGCATGATAGCAGAAACCCTCTAATTTTATTAGTTGGCATCTCCTTCACTTGGGTATTAGACCATATGAAGTCATCCATCCCTTGTTACTCTGAAGGGATTAGTTCTTGGACCTGCCTCTTCCCCTGGATACCAAAAACCCATGGATGCTCAAGTTTCTTAAATTTGGCTTATTATATTGAGGGTTCCACATCAGTGGATACAAAGGGCCAATTGTAAACAAATCAGTCTGAAGAAAAGACTTCCCAAGTGGCACAGAGGTAAAGAATCAGCATGCAACGCAAAAGATAAGGGAGATGGGAGACAAATTCACTCCAGTATGCTTGCCTGGACAATCCCATGGACAGAGGAGCCTGGCCAGCTACAATCCATGGGGGTCAGAGTCAGACACAACCGAGCACACACACACATGCCCGGAAGACTTACTAAGACATCCAGGCTCCCAAGACAGTTCTCATTTTTAATTTTATTTTGCAACAAACTAACATTCTAGATGACTGATAATTATGCATTTGCAAATTAAAGTTACTGTCAACTTCACTCTCACATTCAACATCAAACAACTGGCAACTCCAGTAGCTTTATTTTCAAAACGTATTCAGAATCAAATCACTTCTCACAATATGGTTGACCCTTGAACAACATGGGTTTGAACTGCGTGGATCCACTCATACATGTATATGGATTTTTTCACTAAATATGTACTACACAATCCACAATCGGTTGAATCCACAGATGCAGAGGCCTGACTGTAAAAGTTATGCGTGGATTTTTGATTGTTCAAGGGCTACAGCTCCTAACCCTTGCATTGTTCAAGGGTAAACTGTACCATTTCCAGAGTACTGCTGACAAGAAACTGAATACTGGCAGTCTCTATAAAGCGGCAGTACTGAACACTCATTTGGGGCAAAGGAAGATATTTCCTCTGAGCCATTTAGGTACACAGGCAATACTGAAATTCAGACTATATCTTACCCTCAAGAATGAGTAAAATCTTGATTCACTGCTTGAAACTGTACCTGTTTTTAAAACAATTTTATTGATCACTTACCATCGATCAGACATTGCTAAGAACATATTAAGAGTCTCTGACTCCCAAATTATTCACATAAACATTTTATATTAAAAGTAAAAACTGCTGGCAAAACTTAGGGATGAGCACCTACTCATATTTAATCAGGATTGGTTTGACTGGAAGAATGGGAGCTTTGGTTGAGAAAGGTAGAAGCAAGGGAGGAGATATTAGGAAATGCTAAAGTATGGACAACTTGGGGAAAAGATTCTTGGATGGGGCGTTCTGGTAGTATACAAGGCAAAATCAGTCATAAATGTTGAGTCAAAGTTGAGGACAGCAAAATGGCAGGCTGATGAACAAAAAGGTATATGACTTGGGATGACTTACTTAAATTCTAATCTTAGCTTTTCCTCAAATGCAAAATGGACACATTTACTGCAGAATTCTGATTCTGCACATGAAGGAATTAACAGTGAACACAAGTATTTGTTGAATAAAACTTCCTTCATTAATTCTCCCACAATGGCTGGTCCTCTGTCCCCAGACTAGTACTACATGTTTTTGTAGACTGGCCTGGGAAAGCTGAAGTTGTCTTCATTATTTGATATTCCCAAATCAACATACTAAAAAGGTTAAGTTCTCAGATTATTTTTGGCAGTTTCTGAAATTAAAAATTTTGAAATAAGAACCTTGAAGACATTATAATATAAAAAGACAGGCAGTTTCTTAATCCTGTATGCTGTTGGATATCATACTTGTAGTGAAGAGGCAAAAGGGAAAAAGAGTTCCATAAACTCTATGGGGTTAATGATTTTTTTTTTTAGGGAGTACTCATCTACAGATACAATATTACAAAAAACAAGTCACATGCTGATTGCAGCATCCTAGTAAAAAGACACTAAAGGTCACTAACATGAAATAAACTAGCAAAAAATTCTACTTATTAAGAAAAGAGTGACTATATTTCTCATAGATTAAAAAACGAAACTTTTTTGGCGCTGAAAAAAAAATTGACTACATTGTATTTCATAACAACTATAATATCCAGAGTTGCAAAAAGAAACCTGAGTGTATTTTTTTTTTTTTTAAAGCAGAGGGTTCTCAAATTGCCAATATTCTAAGAGTAAAAATAAGAAAGCTACGTCAAAATTTGGGCTTTTTCTTATTTTCGAGGAAAGCAACAAAGGCAGGATCACCTCATCGGATAGTACTCCGGAAAACAAAGGCGAATGCCTGGGGCAGGGTGGAAAGCTACGCTACAAAGAAATGATCCCAAACTAAGACCACTTAACACTACAAAAATTCACAGAGGTGACTAAATATTTTAGTTAAGGTACTAATCAATTGTTGCTTCATTAAAAACTCCCCGCTATTTCAACGACGTGTCAATCACAAAAGTACCAAGCGAAGATAAAAAAGCATTAAATCCACTTCCCCTCAGTTGATATATACCTCCGGGCGAGAGTTCCATTTTTAAAGAGCAGTTTCAAAATCCTTAGCGGGTCCGATTTGGGGCTTTCTGATCGGGGATGGGGGGTTGCCACAGAAAAAGAGCCAAAGAGAAGTTTAAGAAAAAACTGGCTTTTTCCCAGTTGGCAAGTGCGAGAATAAAGTTTACACCCCTGAAAATGAGTACACGGATTTTCAAGACACAAATTATTATCAATGAAAAGAAAATGAAAGGAAGAGTATCTGGAGAAAATCAAAGTAAAATGAAAGCGAGACGGCTGTAAAAATCAGAAGAGGTTAATCGAGAAGCGGGGGAGGGGATGCCGGAGAGAAAGAAAGCATGGGACAAAAAGGCTAGCCTAGTTCTAAAAAAACATTTGAATGAAAGTCTTTTCTCCAGGCCGAAGGCCGCCGAGGGCCTGGGACGAGGCCAAAGGCCACGCTGTAGGGGCAGTTACGGTGTATGGACTAATTTAGAGGCTGAGCCCCCTCTCTTTCCATTTCGTCCTCACTGCCTGGGTCTCGGTCCCTAGACATCCAGGTGAGCTCCAGAGAGGGTAACCTTGCTAACGCGGGGTCCACGGGGAACAATAGGCTGGGGAGCGGCGCAGAACCAAAGGCTCGCTCCGGGACGATCACCATCCCGCCCCCCTCATCGCTGCCCCAGACTCACAGAGTCTTAGGCATTTCGTCCTCCATGGCTGCTGCTGTCGCGGCGGCGCCTCCAGGTCCAGCTCCCTACCCTTTACTACCTCACAAATCTTTCGAGCGGCTATGGCTGCGGGATAGCTGGGTTTCTCGGCTGACCGGAGGTTACCCCGCCTCCTTCTTCGGCGGCAATTATACTAAACTGCCGGGCCCAGCGCGAACAATGAAGCCCCAATACAAGATGGCGGCGAGCCGGCAGCCTTGGAACATCCAGGGAAGTGACCCGGGCCGCGCAGGCGCAGAAAAATTTTGCACTTTCAACCTCCCGGCCGCCAGGCTACACCTCAGTCCATATATTCACTTGTTGCGCAGCCGTGCTTCCAACGACGCCAGGGGGTTGTCTAGGACTGCGCAGGCGTAAAGGTTAACTGTTTAATAACTTGAGTCAACATTTTTTAATTCCACCTCCAGATTCGAATGTGTCAACAGTGATTTATAGTAAAATATAAATCTTCATGGAGATGAAAAATTGTGTTTCCAGGAGAAGAAAGACTATAAAAATTACGCAAAGCGGGGACAAAAACGGCGTGCGCCGCCCGGGAATCGAACCCGGGTCGCAAGAATGGGAATCTTGCATGATACCACTACACCAGCGGCGCTGACGGAAACTAGCCTTGCTGAAATACCTTAGGACCAAATACACGCGGACGTTCGTTCCCAAATGAGGAATATTTATTCTTTTAAAAATAGAAGTTTACCGAGAGTCTATATAATCTGTTACTTTTCAGGTAAGAGATGATTTCGTTTCTTTCATTTTGGTACGGTTGAATGGATGTCCCTACTTTTTCTGTATGGAAAAATCTCACTTAAAAAAAAATTTTTTTTTTAAACTTAAAGGAGTTTCCGGGAATTTCCTAGCAGTCCAGTATTTAGGACTCCACGCTTTCACTGCCGAAATCAGGTTTAATCCCCGGTTCAGATTCCTCAAGCCACGCGGCGCAGCCGGAAAAAAAAAGTAAGAGTTTCATTAAGAATTTGTCATCTTGGTGTTAACAAAATTTTTGAGCCAGGAATATATTTCCAGATCTTTGAGGAATTTTTCTTTATATTTGAATTTCCTTGGTATAATCAATGTACACTGGAAAATATTTAAGAAAGTTATTTAATATAAATCAATCCAAGAGTTCTAAAACTGAAGGAATAAGAAGATATACAAATTTTAACCTCTTCCAGGGAGGCAGAAAAATTATTTCAGTATACTCATTATGCATTTTATATTGCATTTTAAGTTATGTAAAAATTTTTTTAAACATTGGGAAGTGTACATGTCCAAAAATGTGATGTTTTCTTTGAAGTAGTTCATTTAGACTGCAGCACTTTTAGATAATCGTTTTTGAAATTGAATTTAGAATTTGTGGTACATTCTTGGGATTTTATTCAGAGACATCAAATATTAATATTTTGAGGGTGAACAATACAATTAAAGTGTATAATCCAATGGTTTTTTAGTATATTTACAGAGGTATGCAGCCACTCTACAATCAATTTTAAAACAGTTTCACCCCTCAGCAAAGGAAACCCTTACCAATTAGAAGTCACTCCCAATACCCCATCTCACTTCTCCTCCCCAGTCCACTAATCTTCCCTCTCTATAGATTTGTCTGTTCTGAACATTTCACATTGTCCACAAAAAAATGATTAATGGTTAATCTAAGAAAGAAATAGAGGAACCTCCTTGGTGGTCCAGTGGTTAAGACTCTGTTCCCTCATCAGGGAACTGGATCCCATGTTCCACAACTTAGAATTCAAATGCCACAACTAAAGAGGCCACAGGCCACAACTGAAAATTATATATATATGTGTATATATATATATATCTATATCTCCTGCATATGGCAACTAAGATCTGGTGCAGCCAGATATTAAACAAATAAGTAATTTTTTTTAAAAAAGAAAGAAATAGAGAATTTTATTTAAGCCAATTTATCATCAAGAGGCTTAAAACCCGGGAACAGTCTTCCAGCAAGCTCTGAGGACTTTCTGCCCATTAGGGGTTAGTGCACAGGGCTGCCCCATGCTGGTGAGGGAGCTCCAGCCCTTGTGCACTGCCTTAGGAGGCCACCTGGGCCTGGCGGGCCCAATCAATGGTGGATCTGGAGGTGGTGCCTGAGCACTCTCTGGGAAAAGAGCAGTAGGTATTTGCACTGGTCTCCTCTTTTAAGCATGACCTCATCCTTAACCTGACTCAGGAGAGGATCAAACTACTGTTTGAAGCTTTCAATCAGAGACTTAAGGTGATTCAAATTTACCACTTGACTAAAGTACAGTTAAACTATTGTGGTGTGCATTTTAATTGTGCAGATTGACCAGTCTTCGGTGCAACCCATCCTGGAGTGGACAACTCCACTGCACAGCTCTTTCAGCTCAACCTCAGAGGACTGTCTTTCTCTTTTCAGCTAGACTCATGCACCAAATTTCTCAAGTATGAGCCCAATTTTGCCCATGTTCTGGCTTCTTTCCAGGTACCCCACAGAGCAACTGTGAGGTGAATTTACATGTATAGTGGAAACAGCCTACAGGATACCAAGGCTCCCATGATGCCCCTGAGATGTTTCCTGGGCAATATGTATGCTGAGAGTGTAGATAATCTTTGATATGGAAGTGGATCCTTAGCTTTACAACTTTGCCTACTTGCCGCAGGTTGTGGACCCAACTTATTACCAGATGGCCCAGATGCAGGTATTTGAAATCTTAGTATATTTTGGCGATTCCTGCCAAGATGTTCTTAGCACGCTTGGCTCTCGACACGAGGTCTTCTACAAGTCAGAAGACAAGATGAAGATTCTTTCTCCTTCGCCTCACAAGCAAGTTCCATCCAAGTGTAATGACTGTATGCGCTTCCTGCCAGGCCTAGTAGGCACACCCAACTGGTTGAAACACAACTTTCTACCATCAAGGTGTGTGCCCAGGCCTGGTTCCCCAGCCTGAAAGGTTGCCTGTTTTCTAAATCTTCCCCGATCTGGTTGGTAGGACTGCTTGTTTCCATCCTGTTTGCCTCTTTCATTTGATGCCAAGGTTTTAGTAAAAGCATCTTCCTTCTTTTGTGTGTGTTTCAGCATTCTGTTCTGCACTGTTCTGCCCTGACTCTGGACAGTGTCTCCTGGCTAGGCCCATTCATGGTGCAAGGCCTCTGGGGCTCAAGGAGGTTTGGGCTGCTCAGTCTCTCTGTGGGATTTGCTAAAGAAAGTAGCATATGTGTTTTAAGAATATTAATCCTTTTGAAAAGACTTGAGAAGTTTATAATTTTACCCTGTTTTTAATATTTTGGCTTAGCAACTTGTGACACATAGATGAGAATTTTGAGAGTTTTTCATCTGTGTGTACCAATTTTTGTAAGTACAACTCAGATGCAGATTAAGGATTAAGAAAGAAATGTGGGAATTCCCTGGTGGTCCAGTGGTTAGGACTCAGTGCTTTCATTGCCCAGGACTGTGTTTAATCCCTGGTTGAGGAACTAAAATCTTGCAAGGTGTATGGTGCAGCCAAAAAATAATAATAATAAATAAAATAAGAACATTTGAGCTGGAAATGAAAACCCTCTTCAGTAGAGGAGAAAAGAAATAAAACACCCCTATGCTCAATACCTCATGTTATATCCTAAGGAATCACTTTTCTGGTGCCAGAAATAATTGCTCTTTACCATCAAGCAGGAATTCGTGTGTCTTTTAAGGAAATCTAGTTAACACATAATTGCGGAAGCAGGGTGCACTCTAAAGAGAAGTAGCGGCCTAAGTGAGCAGAAAGAATTTTATGTTTAAATTTTTTTTGGCATGCCTTAAAAATGATTTTATTTCATCAACTCCCTCTTTTGATCCTTAATCTTTTGATAGAAGGCATTTGGTTATCAAACATTTGGTCCCTTGATGCCACCCAGAATGGTTGCTTACCTAGGTCCATCATATCCCTCCATTCCTGGTTCTAAAAGCCTGCTCTTTCTTTCCTTGTAGGGGGGATTGTACTAGTAGAGGCAGAGAAGGCAATAGCAACCCACTCCAGTACTCTTGCCTGGAAAATCCCATGGGCAGAGGACCCTGGTGGGCTGCAGTCCATGGGGTCTCGAAGAGTCGGACATGACTGAGCGACTTCACTTTCACTTTTCACCTTCATGCATTGGAGAAGGAAATGGCAGCCCACTCCAGTGTTCTTGCCTGGAGAACCCCAGGGACGGTGGAGCCTGGTGGGCTGCCGTCTAAGGGGTCGCGCAGAGTCGGACACGACTGAAGTGACTTAGCAGCAGCAGCAGTACTAGTAGAGGGGCTTCCTCTGTGGCTCAGTGGTAAAGAATCTGCCTGCAGTACAGGAGCCACAGGAAACTTGGGTTCATCCCCTGGGTTGGGAAGACCCCCTGGAGGAGGACATGGCAACCCACTCCAGTATTATTGCCTGGAGAATCCCATGGACACAGAAGCCTGGTGGGGTATAGTCCATAGTGTCTAAGAAGAGTTGGATAGGACTGAAGCGACTTAGCATGCACACATGTACATATTGGTAGAATGTCTGGCAAGGACTGACAGTCAATTCCAAATTGTCCAATAGAACTTAAGCCAATTTTACATTGTGTAGGCATTGTGAATGTTCATTATTTTATAGGGAACTATAGATGTGATCAATAATTTCAAGCAGTTTAGATGTTACTATCTCAGTAGATGTTGGTGATACACAGCATGAAATGCAGGAAGTCATCACTTTATAAGTCACACAAGCTATAATCAAAATTACCGTCAAGAATAACAACAACAACAGCAAAAAAGAATAACAATGTCAGGGACTTCTCTGTGCTCCAGTGGCTAAAACTCTGTGCTCCCGATGCAGGGGGCCTGGGTTCGATCCTTGGTCAGGGAGTTACATCCTGCATGTTTCGACTAAGACACAATGAAAATTGAAGATGCCCCATGCTGCAACTAAGACCTGGTGCAGCCAAATAAATAAATATATTAAAAAGAGTAACAATACCGTTAGTAAAGATACGACCTCTTCCTTCCCAAACCAAA